GCATGCCGACCAGCTTGCACTTCGGTTGTGATACTTTTCCAGCCCGAAATTCTTGAATGTAAAATGAAAAGGAATAAATCGCGGCGATTGAATCGCGACGACCAAATCGCGTGAACTCTGTCCGAGGCCTTAGTAAACTGCCTTAGGCCTAGATGTTTGGCCATCCTTTCCAGACCTGTGCTAAATGAAAAGCGCAGCCTTTGATGTGCTTTAAGGAAAGCTTTCCTTACTGCCCTAATCGCGGCCTGAAATTTAAGTAAATTTTCAAGCATTAAAAATATGTAAAAAAATCTCATCACCTTCTCATAATCTGGAGTTATTCTAAAATTCCCATTTCCTAACCTCTCTTTCAGGCAGTCAAAAATAAGCTTGTAAGTTGCGCGATTTTTGTGTGATGGCGAATAAAATTGGACTCAAAAAATTTTCGGTTTTCCATATCTATTCATTTTGGAAATTTTTCAATGACTGTCTTAATCCTTAGACAGCCTTATACTTCCATATGTGGCACAGTTTTTCTAATATCTGACCCTAGTTGTTGTTAGAATTCTTTGCCCCAGGGGTCACGGCGAATTGTGATGAAAAAACCACTCAGTGATCTATTCTATATTTTTTGAACTTATCCCGTAATATTAGATGTCCCGAAAGTTTTGTCCGTTTTTTTCATTGCTCACTAAAACTCGTGGCCTGAAATCTAAGATAATAATCCATAGACGGTCTAGGTACCACTTGATTCAGCTTTTTATCCTCTTTCTTACAGCTATATTTGCTCTCTGGTCTACCTTATCTTTGCAAAGTTATCGCCATGGTTTTTTGAGCAGCTTAGCAGTAACGCCAAATTCTAAGTTTTACAATTACCAAGTCAGTTATAATTATTAATTACAAAAATCGCGACTTTTTCATTGCGTTTTCCACGTAAAAGTACAGAAATTCAGAGAATCTGCTTTTTAACACGTTGACGACGAGCCATTTTTTGAAGGTCTGTCCCTGTGGACGAACCGTTTCCGGGCATTTTCACAGCCGGCTGCATGTACGCATGCATGCATCTATGCGTGAGATACAAAAATGCAAGTGGGCGGGGCAACTCCGCCCACTTTTGGCAAGCCCCGCCCACTTTTCAAAAATGCTGGAAATTGCTCAAAATCAATGAATTTGTGCAAATTCCGTAATTTTTGAAAAGTGGGCGGAGCTTGCCATTGAGGGGGGTGGAGCATGCACTACGGGGGCGGAGTCAAAATTAATACTGTTACGAGCTTTTCTATGCGATTTGAGAACAAAAACTTTTTTCTGCAGGGGCAATGGAGTGGGCGAAGCTTGCCAAAAAGAGGACGGGCATACCCTCGATACATAGAGCCACTCACTCTGGTAACCTTCACTTTGAGGGCTATGAGGGGACACAACCTTCACCTGGGAAAAAAATAAAAATCATCCGGGGCTTCGCCCCGGATGTTACTATTCTGACTATATCGAATGTGAATGAACCAAATATAGGAAAGAATATATGAAGAATATCTCAGCGAAACCGAGAAATTGCTTTTTTAAATGCCTTTTTTACCCTGAAAAGAGAATTTCTGTGAAAGTTTCCTCAGAATTCTGACAACGTTCCTCACTTAGCCTCTTACTTGACCAAAAATGAGTTTCAGAAGTTTAGGAAAGCTATTGGAGTTGAATAAAAACGAGAAACTGCGCTTAATTCTCGCGCGGTAAATCGCGCATGAAAACGCTGGTCTATCTCGTTGATGAGTGATTCTTAAAGCTTGTGACGTTGTCATTTCTCCTCGTCGTGTCATGACGATCAGAATGATATATAATGTTGCAGCGTTTCGTTGAGACCCCGCGGAGATCTACGACCAGAGCCAAATGCCCCGTCGGCTCTGGTCTGTCTCCGCTGCTCGTCTGCGTCTCCGCGCGCTGCGCGTTACCTCGCTACCCCAAACGCGGGGTGCGGGACATTTGGCTCTGGTACCCTTTTCTCCTCTGTTTCGAACCCAATTTTGACAAGCTATATATCGTTTCAAAGCTCTTGATCTCTACTTTTACGCCGACAACGTCCCAAAATCACATTTCTTGATTTGAACGAGAAATCTGGCAAAGACCTTGTTTTTGAAAATCTATTGTTTTTCTTCTAGTTTACCTCTTTTTACGCGGTTTTTTCGTGCATTCTATAGATCTTGCTTCTGTTCATAATGCAGACAACCACCCAGCCTCTATCTCTTCGATTATTGTGGAATCATTTGCGAAATACCGTAAAAATGCGTTTTTCTTCACCTTGTTCTGTTTCAGTGCTTTCGCATCGATTTTTTTCCTGCTTGGGCGATTGTTGCTCAGAACAATAAGCGCAACAATCCAGACAACGTCCCAGGAAACAGGAACATCAATGCGGGGGTAAAAATCTAAAGGACGCATCAAAAATCAAAACCCCGCGTTGCGAATTGCTGGTCCTGAAACGAAAACTTGCACTTTGAAAAGCCGCTAAATGAAGGATTTCAAGCCTCATTGCAACGTTTTTATCCGGTTTTCAGCAGTTTCTTTTGCTTTTTACATCTGTTTTATGTTTTTTCTCTTCTCTGTCATCTTTGAACAACCTTCACTATTTATGACGTCAGATGTTCAAACAACCTTCACTTTTGACGCCCTGTCTCTGTGCCGACTTTGTCGGCACCTTCTTTGCGACTTATCATTAACCCTCTTAACCACCGTAAAGGTCATGCCATAAGCATGACCTGCTGCGATATGAGTGTATTATTGCCCAGGTGTTTGTGATACTACTTTACCACGCCTTCAATCCTCAGCATTCTACCACTGCACGAATGGGTGCATGTCGTCTAGTAAAATGATGTGCCCTTCACTGCTAAGCTACACGTTGAGAGTAGACCGGTTCATTGCTCTAACGACAGAAGGCAGTATAGGAATACAAACAATATTAATCTACTGGATCCTGGAAGGTTGCAGTGTTGACGATGATGACGGGGCAAACAGCAGCCCAGGGATACGAAACCACTCGCTGCTACCAGTAAAATGATGTGCCCTTCACTGCTAAGCTACACGTTGAGAGTAGACCGGTTCATTGCTCTAACGACAGAAGGCAGTATAGGAATACAAACAATATTAATCTACTGGATCCTGGAAGGTTGCAGTGTTGACGATGATGACGGGGCAAACAGCAGCCCAGGGATATCAGAGGCGCCGCCGGTCGGTTACCGGACGTTGGAGTTTCTCCTCGCACCCCGCGCGTATCGGCCACGCCCTAAAAAGCATGACTCAGTACCGAACTCAATAAGGGTGCTTGTGCTCACAGTCTGTTCAATAAAGCTCTAATAGCTTAGTGTTCTATTAACACACCAGGAGCTACCATACTCCACAACAGGCGCCACTCATCCGCCTAAGGCTACAATAAAGCCTACAACCACCACATTTATGGTGCATCGGCTAAATACGTAAGACCGATAAGTGCTTCGCCCCAGCGACTGCACAAAGGTTAGCTATTCTAACCTTGGGACCTAGCGCCCAAAATCCGCTGCCTCACAATTGCGACAGCCGTTCTCCACCGCACTCAGGGCCTGAATAATTCCAATTTTCGCTCAAAAAGTAGCGAACGGCTCAAAAACAGCCATATGTTCTTGACAATTTTTTGAACATCAAAATGTCTCTGAATTTTTTCAAAGAGGCAATCTCATTTCATTCAAGAGCACTAGCAAACCTGCTTGAGAAATTTGATTCCTACAATTTCAAGCTCAGGTTCACGTTAGAAATTGATAGAGAGCTTCAAAAGAAATGTTTTGAAAATGTAGATACTCTCCTTTCTTGCCTATCACAAATCAAAGCAAGATCGACAATTTTGGACTCAATAGTCCACCAGTTTGGAGAATTTTATCAAAAGCAGTCAAACAACGAGAGAAAAATTGTCATACTCCAGCTAGAAAAGCTTGAAAAAAAGCTTGACTTTCACCAATTGCTTTCTGATGCTCATGTTTTTACTATCACTGTTTAAATTTGATTTTGTAATAATCTCGTCAATTTCTTTTTTAGCTTTTTTGTTTTTTATATATTTTTTGTATTGTATCTTATAAGTAAACTACAAATTTTCTACTGTCTTGATCGATATGTAGTATGTGGCAGCAGTACGACCTTTGAGGGAATTCTCGCACCTCAGCGCAATGAGGTACGAGGCTGCATTATCTCTCTGCGAGAGGTTGCGAACGGCGAGAGCGCGCTTACGGTAGCTCAGTCGCGACGCTGGTGCCAGCTCTGGTGGCTGGCCGCGGCACCAGACGGCTGCCTGGATAACACTTGCCATGCACCCGTACCTTTGCGACGACAACAAAAAGCAAAATATGAAAAATTATGAAAATCATGTAAATGAGAGGTGTTGTAAGCGTTTTCTCAATTTTGGTTGCTCCCGCGCAATCTGGGAGCACCCTGACGTTGCGCGAAACCCAACAAAGTCATAATTTTCTCCCTTCCTCATATAACTTTTCAAAACTTTCTACATATATCTATTCTCCATTTCAAACACAGTATTTTCCTCGACCCGAATTTCGTTTCTACTCCTTTGCTATGGCCACTGACGACTTTACCGCCTCTCCTTTCACGTGTTGCTTTCATTTCCAATTTTCCCTGTCTTTTCTTACTTCCATTCACTCACCTTTCGCTGCAGTACATTAGCCGCACTTACAAACACCACAAAAGGTATCGTCGAGTCATTCGTAACTTAATATGCGTAGTGCACACTAAACAAGCTAACTGACGTACAGCAAAACTAGAACATGCTCATTTCCAATGATTTCTGCTTGTTTCCTTGTTTCTTTTGTTTTGTTGATTACATGTTAGCCAATAACACATTTCTTCACTTTGTTAGGCCAGAAAATATTTCACTGGAAGGTTACCATTAAGGGTGCCGTCGCTAATAGAGCTTAGTGTGCACTTCCACATATTAAGTTACAAATGATTCGAGGTTATTTCGTTCTTCTGCGATATCAAGGGGACGTCGTTTTTGAAATTTGCAAATGCCATCTCATGCTGGGCCCTGATTCAACCATCGGCTTGCTACATGCGCGCTCTGAAGCTGGTTTATGCTCTGATCGCAGTAACTGTGGTTCCTGTGACGAAAGTTAAGGTGAGTTCGAACTGGTACAGTATTGAGATCCCTCAAATTGAATTCGTGAAGCATTGAAGATTTGCTTTCTCATTTTTGACACGACATCATCTGTGGAAAACGGATTTGGACTTTATATAAAATCTAATTTCACTTGATTGTGAAATGAATTTGGAGGTCACTTCTATATTTCACTCACCTTCTCGACAAGTTGCCGTTACGTTTTCACAGGTTTTAGTCCTCCATTATCTGTGTTTGAAATTATTTCAAGATAATTGTGTTGAACAACGCATGCAGAGATCTGCATTTCCTCGCAAATTCGAAAGGTTTCTAGAACGTTATGAAATTGAAAATGCGCTATATTTGGTGTTCGACTGGCAATAGAACGCGCATAACAATAGAACCTTGCCTTCTTGTCACATCGTGGTTTTCAGTTGGACTAATCTTAACAGCATATTGAATGATTTCAGATAAAATGGTTGGAAATTACCGTCATCGAATCCATGGCAAAGGCAAAGTTCGTATTCCTAAAGGAATGAGGTAGTACGATATTCTTGTATTCTTATGCTCATTATCATGTTCAGTTCCGAAAGCAACCCGTCAAAGAAGCGCCATCGAGCTGCGGCTGAGGCAGCCAGAAATGCTAGTCTCTCAACTGGACCATTAGTAGCAGTTGACGATCGGCCTCTTGAACAGGCTTCAGACTTCGCTTTAGCTAATAATCTTGTAAGTCTGGTTTGCAAACTCAAAATGGACACCAGTTTCGCAAATCACTTGCGTTTCTATTAGGAGTCAATGCAAATTGATCAACGTGACTCGTCAAGTAAAAGCATGGTCTCCGAAGGAGGTGTCTCAAAAATCTCGCAGTTCACAAATTGCACGAATCCAAACTTTGACTCGGTCCATCGCATATGGAAGTTAGTCAGATTTTTTCCTTTTTTCTTTACGCATTGCATACTGCAAAGTCAAAACGAGCGAGACCGACAAGTTTGTCTTGTTCAGGTCTGGATCCTCCATGCAAAAGGAGGTAGTCTCAGTTTTGGCTGCAGTTGCAGAGTTAATCAAAGAGCGTAATGGTGGGTCTCATCTATCTATCGTCAGTATTAGTAACACATAAAGAAAGGAAAATGAGTCTGAGACCCGTCATACCTTGCCGAAAAAAGCCCAAAAAAGCCTGAAAGCGTCAGAAAGAGTCGGAACGCAGAAACGAACTTTTGGTAGAATTCTGACGTTATTTTGATGTGCAGGCGAAGAAAATAAACCAAAAGAATCGGTTGCGAAATCAAGACACATGCCTTAGTGCCAAAACGTGCGAGGAGTGTTCTGGCATTTTTGGGCTTTTTGGGCACTTTTAAGCTTCGGCGAAGTATGACGGATCCTTTTTACGTTTCCATATGGATTAAGTAACTGAGGATCTCAGTTACAGTTGTATGAAAATCAGCCAGGCATCACCTGTTTCAGAAATAGTAGAGAAGACATATTTGAAAAAGAATCAACCAACGAAAAAATTAGACTTAGTCTGTAAGCCTCAAATTAGCCTTTAATTCTGGTGTATTTGGGTGAATTGGGTGATTAGGAAAAGAGTGTAAAGGGTCTGTTGAACTCGAGACAGGCTGTTTGTCGCTGTTTTTTCATTTTTGCTTTGTACATGGAAGGCGTCATCTTATCTAACAATAGATGATATTCTCCACTGTCTCAACGTTAGCATGCTTCGCCTTTTGCAAATCCTCAATGTATATAATTAAACTGCAGTCCACTAAATAGAGGTAAACCAAAGTATGATAGAACAGACAACCCTGCCGATTCCATACAACAGTAGAATTTCTATTGATCATAGTTTAAATTGCCAAAGTGAACAGATTTTTAGTTTCTAACATAATTATGCATTTCTAGTAGTGTCAGCTTAGTGTGCATTTTATACTCATTTTTTAGGTAAGGAAACAGACGTTGAGTATTTTGCCGCTCTTACCACAGCGCTAGAAGGCACCAGTATCAGTGAACCATGTAGAACGGCTGCTGTTGCTTTTCTGTTACAATTGATTGTCAAAAAAGTTCCAAAAGAAGTTTTACAAGCACAGTTCATGAGAACAGTACAGGTATAAACCACCTAATGTGTGTGTTTCCCTATAGTTGTAGCTTATTTTAGATTCTATACACAAAAATGTTGGAAAATTCGGAGCAAAGTGAAAGCTCTCCGCTCAAATATCTCTTATCCATCCTGGGAGTTGTTCTTCGCGCACAGCCTGCTCGCATCTGGAACAATGCGAATACTAGGTAAGCTTTCTTTCCGTATTCATTGGGATTTGAACTTACGTTTCAGGAACATGGTTGTTTCTGTCGCGGCCTTATGTGCTCATGAAAAGCCTTGGGTACGCACCATGGCACGGCGCGTAGTACGTGCAGTGTTAACTGATCCAGTAACATCAATGGAGAATGGGCTGCATGCTGCTGCATCGGGAGTTGGGGTTTTTGTACAGCAGCAACTCCAAGCCGCACTGGGTAGGTGTATAGACTCGTTTTTTGTGGATTCCATTTTTTGAATTCAGGCTCAAAAGGTGGCGACATGACTAGTGTACGTTATTTATGTCTTTTGGAAGGCATCATGCACAAAATGCCTTCTACATTATTCAAGCAGCTTGCGGAAACCATACTCAAATCGTTTACCATTGCGGATCCTATGGTAAGCCAACGATTTTGAGGTTTAATATATGTGAATTGCTAAGCGTGTTTCCTTTCTCTTTTAGGTAAAGTGCAGCGCATTGCAATGCCTTTATCGGTGCTTACAACGTCAACCGTGTGACGCCGCACTTTCGGTTGAGACGAATGTGCTGCTCGTGAAAGCTCTTACTCAGCTATCTCCGTCGAGCGAAGATGTCACAGTATGTGCATATTGGATGCAGGCATTAGCAGAAGCACATGTTTGTCTAACTGCTAAGGATCCTTACAGGTAAAATCTTTCGCTGTGGTCATCGTGCTTTTTGTATGTTCATATTTTTTTCTATCATCTCTTAGTAATTCTATCCTTGCGTGTTTTTCTGTTTTGCTAGCTTGAGTTTTATGGGTTTACTTTGATGCTGAAGGTAAATGAGCCGCCTTTTCTGTGCAGTCGATGCTAAAAACTTTATTGGTTTGATTTTTTCACAACTTGCAGTAACTTGGGTATTTTTTGAGTCTTCAATGAGTGCACTTAAGACATGAGCTCTGATGTGAGCACCACATTGATCATCCACGTAATCTCTTTTGTTATGGTGTATGTGATTCAGTCTGCTGAATATAGAGTAAATTTTCCAGTTGCTATTCCTTACTTCCTGGGACTCTCGAGCTTATTGTCAAGTTCTTTGACACCGGTGATGAGCAACTCGCACAGGTCACTTACCAGGTAAGCGGTTTAGCTGAAAAGTTCCAGCTTTTAACCTTTACTGCTCCAGATTCTTGCAAGGATTATTGAAAGTTGTGTACAAGACAACGAAGCTTGCGCGAAGAAACTGCTTGCAATGCTAGATCGTGCTCTAAATATACAGTCCACGGTAGTATGGAAATATGTCTTGCGGTGAGCGGTTGCGGAGTCAAATACAGTGTTTATAGTAGTTTTGCAGATCTCAAATGCGGCTTTTCGAAGCTGCTGGCTCGGTTATAATTGGTGACGAGTTTAATAACGCGTTGAAAACTCTGGCTCTTTTACGCGAAAGTGACAACTGCTGCTGTAAACAGGAACTCGACTTTGTCAGTGCTTTACATTTTTAGAGTTATGATTTGGACTTTACTTCTTTCTAACTGGATTTGTATTAAGACGGTCGGATGTGCCGTACGTCATGTTGGTGCTCCTGCGGTGTTGGCGATCATTCCTTTGGACATCGATCCAAATGCTGCTGTTCTTAGCACGGAGTTTTCTCGCTCGTGGTTGATCCCGGTACTTCGAGTAAACTTGCATAATGCACCGCTAGCCTATTTCGCTTCCCATATTCTTCCTATTGCCGTGAAGATATACAGGTATGTCATTTATAGGTTTTCCTACTATGCGTCTTCCACAACTGGATACTAGGTGGAATTCTAGATATTTAGCTCCACAGTAGATTTTTTGGGTCAATTAGGTTGTTCGCTCATATACTTACGGTGATATGAGCATGGGTTTTGTCCAGCACCATGTATTCAATTATTGCAGAAGGCTCTCAACGCTGGATCCCGTTCCGCAGCGGTTGTACACCACTCTGCAGACGCAGCTGTGGGAGTTGCTCCCTTCGTTCTGTGACTCTCCTTCGGATCTTGAGAAATCATTCCCTCAGCTTGCTCCGGTAGGTATCGACGAAGATTGTAGAATCTATCTGGAAAAAGCTTTTTTTACATAACAGAGCTCCGTTAAGGTTCTTGGTGCAGCCATGAACGAACGAGATGACCTCAAACTTACGATCCTTTCCGCTTTGAGACGAGTGGTCAAATTTGCATTGCAGCCGGATGCTCCAGAGCGTAGCGAGGTATCTGTGCCTTTCCCGCGCCGTTTCCTGTTTCGATATGAATTTTTAGGTCGTTGGCGCATATGCAAAGAATTTTATGCCTTTGCTATTTAACATGTATACTACAAACGTTGAGACCAATGTTGATGATAAGGGATTGAAGTGGGTTCTTTCTTTTGTGGGTTTGAGCTCGTATCACCTTCCATTTTGTAGAGCAGCAGTGCTCGATACGATTCGCACTTATGCAGAGGTAGCTCCCAAAGAGCTGATCGATCAATTCGTAGATGCTGCAATGACAAAAGCCAGAGATGCATCTGATGACAGCGTCAGACAGGTATCATTCTCTTTTGAGTGACTTTTTCCTCATTGTTGTTGGCATCATATCAAATTCATGATTTTGCTTTCAGGCGCGCATACTGGATATTTTGTGCGCTCTTGCACGAACTGCGAACTGTTCCACTCTACAAAAGATTATGAGCACGATTAATCCATGGTTTAATGTGACAGATACAAGTGGTCTACAGAAGAAAGCATTCCGAATCTTGGAGGAAATTTTGACGAGGAGGTCTGCTTGAGTTTTGTTGCATCTGGCTAATTCAAGATTTTTTTTCAGAGGTTCGCCGGAGTTGGATACATTCTTTTCTTCTTGTTCGTCAGATTTCTATAATGCGTTGTCGCGTCCTGTCGCTAGCATTCAGCCACCTGCTAGGGCCGCTTTTGTAAGTAATAAAAACTTGGTGTTTTCTTCTTTTCTGAGTTAAGATTAATTGTAGTGTGCATGTGTTACACTGACGATCGACTCGTTTGACGATCTCAAAGCACTTTCTGGATTTTGCCTTCGATCACTTGATGCCACTATTCTCTCACTTGATAAGGTAATTTTTTTAGTGAGCAAAACTATATTTTATTAGTAACTAGATGGCAAACCCGGCTCCGCCCGGGACCAAACTTTGCACACATACACTTCGGGGCAGGGAGCGTGTCATAGGCTACTTTTCGTTATCGATCGATGTCGATTTTACCGATTTTTTGCAAAATTTGAGCTAGGGGGCTAGGATTTTGCACAGGGGGGTAATCGAGCATGCTGATCACCCCCTGTGGGGGGGGGGTGATCAGCATGCTCGATTACCCATCGATTACCCCCTGTGCAAAATCCTAGCCCCCTAGCTCAAATTTTGCAAAAAATCGGTAAAATCGACATCAATCGATAACGAAAAGTAGCCTATGACACGCTCCCTGCCCCGAAGTATATGTGTGCCAAGTTTGGTCCAAATCGGTTCAGAAATAAAAATTTCTATTCCGCACATACGTACAGACATACAGACATACAGACAGACAGACAGACATTCAGCTTTATATATAAGATCTCAACTTCAGGCTAATAGCACGCATACTCGTTCAAATGCGAGCAAGTGTCTGCAACATATGCTCAACAAGCTTGTAGAAGTTGGAGGAGTAAACGAGTAAGCTATATAGAGTGGATGATATGTAATCGTCTTTCAACTCGTTACTTTTTGCAGAAAACATCCATCTGAAGTATTGGCGGACTTGTTAGGTCGCATCTACGAAATGGCTACCCCGTCAGCTGGGGCTGATAATGGAAGCGTAGAATTGGATGTTGCGAGATCAACACTTGTCGCCTTGAATATAGTTGCACAGAAACAGTTGAAGGTAAAAAGTATATCCGAATGTTTCTGTTCTCCATGGGTATCAGTAGTTATTAGGTTGGGTAGTTATTTAGGTTCTGAACGGGGGTCACATTTCACGTCTTGTTGCTCATGGATGTGCATGGATCGGAGACGGGCGTCCTCCAGTCCGCATTCTGGTCATCAGGTATGTTAATAAAGACTTGTTAAGAGAAGAATACCCATGACTGCTTCCAACAATATTTTCCATTCCTGCAGGTTACTTCGTGTACTAGTCCAAAAACTACCGGAGTTCGCTTTGCAACAATATCGTGATCTTTTACTCAGTTCCATATTCGAGGGACAACTTACTTGTGATCTTACATCAAAGGTGGAACATGACGCTAACAAATTATTATCATTCTAATCGTTAGATTTAGGTCCGAAAAGCCAACCGTCTATTACTGGAAGTTCTGGTAGCCAAATTTGGTATAGACGTGCTGATGAAGTACACAAATAAGCCAGATTGGGTCAAGCAAATGAGAAATATAGAAAAGATTAATAGAAGGAAGGAGCGGCAGCTAAATAATGAAGCAACAACTAAGGACAGCGATGATGGTAAGGTACCGTGCTGCTGTTCGTGAAATTCAACACCACTCAATTCTAGAAAATGTCAGTGAAGCTGAATCCCGGCTAACCTCACGCACCGCGGGTGCCGACACCATCCTGAAACTTTTGGATGATAGCGATACTTCTGAAAGTGACGGTGAAGGTGAAATTGCTGAGCTTCGTAGCAGAACTGGAAGTGTTTGGTTGAAAGAAGACACTGATATGGGCGATGCAACTGATTTATTGGATAGAGAGAGTATGCTGCTCAAGGTATGCCAAGTTATCTCCAAAATCAAAATCTTAAAAGTTATTCCCAAAATCTAAAGCTTAATGAAATCTTCTGTAGGTCACCACTTCGGATCCGGCTCGACTAGCAAAGAAAAAGGCCAAGCAGATGGAAAAGAAAAAGGATAAAGAGTCTGGGTTCAAAATAACTAAAGATGGAAAGCTAGTGATTGTGGATAGCGGTGAGCTTTGATTTACCAGACTTGTAGGCGCGTAGCTGCAAATCTCTGATCATCAAAGATATGGGCTGCTTATCTGACAACATAACTCATAATAGAATTGATGGTGAATGTGCTTTCCTGCTCTGATTGGTAGCTCGCTGATGTTATGCGGAAAGGGCTGCAACATTGAAACACGTGAATCGATAAAACAATATCGAGAACATTTCAGTTCCATAAATGACTTGTTAGTTCTGAGTACTTGATAGACTAAAGTGCACTCGTACTAAATTGAAGTAAGCAGTGCAAGAGAGGTCGCAATTGAGTGCTGGAGAATGTACCAAGTATTGATGCACCACGAAGTAAAACCGAGACGCAGCAGTAGACAGATTGCAATATAGCAGACACGCATTTGAATTTTTCCCGGTTGAGATCTAAAGTTGTAGTACGATACTGTGCGATATAATAACTAGAAGTGGTTAACCTTGAGCTTTCAAGTGTCTGGTACTCCCTGTCTTTGCGAGTACAAATATTTAGCTTCATCTAGAGAGCATGGAAATTTATTCTGATACAGTTGGAAGCGCACTTTCATTTTCAAAAGTGCGCGACCGTAGGCAAGCATTTTGTTTGTTTTTTCCTCGTTGGGCTCGGTAACTTCGGGTCATGTTCAGTCTTTATAGCCAACTTGTAATCTTGTACGTATTTGATCGGCTTTGCGACTGAGTATTTTTCTTTTTGCAGATGAAGATAACGAACGAAAGCGCAAGACTAGGAAGCGAAAGAATGGTATAGACGATCTAGAAGATGATTTCCCATTGGAAGAAAAGAGGAAAAAGAAAAGCATAATTGAAGGCGAAAGCGACTCCGATGATGATAGCGAAAATCTCAACCCCAAGGTAAAGGAATAATGGATATTTTTTTAAAATAGCTGTGCTTTTTTCAGAGCATGGCGAAATCTGTTGTAAGCACAACATCCAGTTGGCGTCCCGGTGGCAAGGGTATCCATCGCGATACAAGCAGTAAAAAAGGCAGTGGTGACAGTAAGAAGAAAGGACAGAAATTGCAACCTTACGCTTATATACCATTGCGGCAAAAAGGAGGAAAACAGGTAAACGATTTTACGGGTTAAATTTTTGTCTATTACTAATCAGAGTTCTTTAGAACCTGGTGAAAGCCCTCAAAGCACAGAAGAAAGGTGGGAAAGCAAAGAAAATAGTCAAGATCTGAAAAAAAGGAGCAGTTCAAAATTTACTTGTTGTGTTTGAGCAATTCTAATCATTGTTATTTGTTTCGGTTTCTCATGTTTTCGTTTTAATGTCGCTACGAGTATAATTGCCAAATAGATAGCCGATAATATAAATAAATACACGAAATGAACGAAAATTCTGTTGTAATAAAATTCGATGCTTAGAGTATCATATAGAGCTATAGCGTATTAGAGTATCATCATCGAGCTTTAATAAGGTAAAATTGTATGAAGTTTAAGAAACAGCTGAATGAAGCGGGTGGCGAGCAAAAGGAGATGATAGCTGGTGGGTGTCAATAACTCGCGCATACTTCACCGTCAATCTTGTCCATCAGCACACAGAATTTAGAGCATTTCCTCCTTTTATGCTTTCATGTAGACAGGAGAAGATGGATTGTTTTTGCTTAAAAATGAGGTGTGAACGTTAACTGAAAATGTCATAAAAGGGTCTCAAAGGTGAAACTTCAATTATTTCAAGCTTATTCCTGCAAGAACATCACCGAATTGCACATAACACCGGGTAAGCAAGACTTATCAAGTAAACTGAGTAGAGCTTTAATTTTATATCTATAATTTTTTTTATAACTTTGAATTTGTGAATTGTGAAGGCAGATTCTGCATTGGCACCAACAGATGGCAATAACTATCGTTCCACTTGCACCACACACGAATGAAGCTAGTATTTACCGACAACAAGAAAGACAATTTCCGAGTTGCTGATATTCTGCGTAACATTTATTGTCAGTTTAGCTTGAATTTTCATAATGCACAACATCACAGAAGACTTTTTCCTTAACATAAGGATATATTGAGGCTTTACTGAGTGAAGTCAGCCCTACTCATGCGGAATAAAAGAGATGCCATACATCTTTCTACATTTCATCAGAAAACATCAAACATCAAACTTGCTCTTAATACAACTCGCGATCTTCCTTGTAAACGTCTCTTAAAGGGAAAGTGCATAGGTATGATGAGTGTCACAAAAGGACTCAGTGATAACGATGATGCAGACAAGAAACTGATGCTGTTTTACGTCGTGGTTTGAAAGACGCTACTATGCATGATTAAACAGCATAAGCTATCTAGGATAAGATGAAAGTTGATAAAATCTTTGAGAGCAAAAGCTGTAGTCAGCACATGATCAACAACAATAACAATATCAACAATGAAAATCAACAACTCAACTGCTTTTCCTGAATTTCTTCGGAGGACTCTCGTCACTGCCGCCCCATTCGCTTTTGGTGCCTCTTTTCCGCACATCTGTGAAGTTGAGGCGTTCGTTTGAAGAGATTTCATCTAATCCTGGTGCTGGACGAGATACGCCCTTGTTTGTTTTCTGAACAGTGTGATTCCCCCACCATAAAAGCAGACAATCAGTGGACGTCATTTGTTAGTTTTGACCACACATTATAATGAAGGAGCTCACCACAGCTTTCTCGCCTTTACTGAACTTGCGTGACATGGTAGCTGCCGCACCGCGTAGCCTCAAAATAATATTACGCAAATTTTCTAATGAAGTTGCTTGTCTGCACGAGAATGATAGCTGCATCTCATCCCAACACAATCTTTGTCACTGGGCCACATAAAACTTTCAGCTAAGGCACGCACCATACTTGATCCCATTGATCCGCTTCATCATTGGTCATCAGTGAACTAACCAATAGTGAAGAGGATCAAGCGGATCAAGTATGGCTCCTGCCCAACCAAAAAGGTTATTGGACAAACTACAGACCCTATATACTTTATAAGCGTAAAATCGGACCGATACTAAAATTTGGAGACATGAAACTCACGTTGTCGCCATTTCTACGTCTCCTACATCTTTCTCATTATCGGAATCGGTATCCGAATCATGTCCCATCCTTTTACGTTCATGATAGACCATTAACTTCTGTAAGCATTTACAATTAGTACATAACATGAAATGGGAGCGACCCACCTCTACTTCAGGATTGCAACCTTTGAAAGACATTCGCCCAAACTTCAGATTTTCCAGAAAAGTTAAGTCACTTGAGAACTGATAATCACACCTGGAAATCTATCCACATAAGAGAGGACAGATGATAAACTTCAAATTCATGACGTCGTTAAGCTTTGCATTTATTAAAAAAAGAAGTGAGGAAAATGGCCTACTGGACACCCATGAGTCTTGACCAGCAGTCAACCCTTTCCCCTATCCCCAGCCCTGGAAATCTGTGGAATTTGGATATTTGAAACTTCCAACGGGTAATCGTAGGATCGCACGAAAAAATAAAATAATCTAGCAAGACTTGAGATAAGATTCGCGCTGACTATTGTGAGCAGCACCGATTGACTGACCCAAAACTCACTGCTTCGAGACCGGTGATGGAGTAAATTCTTCGTTGTCACCAAAACACTCTTTCTTGAGTTCAGCCTCCTTTTTCTTTTTCTCTCTTGCTTCGAGCTTCCTTTTCGTCCTTTGCATGAACTGTAATATAGAACAAAGATCCGCACAAAACATAATGGTCATCACACTAGCTGTCTCACAATATATACGAACTGAACACGAAAACGCACCTTCATCTCCAGCACAGTCGAAGATAGCCTCTTCTCTGTAGGTGACATCTTTGCAAATATCTTTCGCTTAATTTGTTCTTTGGAATTTTTTCAGGAAACAAGTAGTAAACAACTGCTAAATTATAGGGAACAACACGCCTTTTGCAAGATGCTTAAACTTCTAAATTCATATCAGATATCATTGGCGATCTTATAAAAAAAATAGTGCACATGGTATTTCATAAAAGTAAAAGTTGAAGTTAAATCAAGGTGTCGTCGAAACAGGCGCACAAACCAAACGCATGTTCTGCAACTACACAATTTACCTCCGTCCGCCTCCAAATTGATTTATGATCTGAATTCAGATCGGAATTTTAGCAGGCGCCATATGGTCGGTTCCTAGACTCGCATAGAGGTGGAGCACTGGAAGCTTTCGTTGGCAAATCTATTAAACCCACTCTAAGTTGTCGCTTGATCTTTTAATTTAGTTTACAGAAAGTGTTACCTACATATCGTGACCGAGTGAATGATATCACGAAAGTCTGGAGGAAAGGACTTTCAAGCCCTATTTTATTTGTTCGCGATAGAAACCCGAAATCTGCTTTCGCTAGCGTTAACCAAAAATTTTTATCTCATCGCAACCATAGATGCCATAGGTGAAGAAATTTCTTTGCCCCCTTCATTTCAGGGCCGGCATCTTGCTGACCCCTTTCACCTGAGGTTAAGATTAGAATCAAGGCATAACGGCAGAATCAAACAGCTACCACGACGGCACTTTTTGTTTAGAAGAAATGCCAGCTGTTCTTCTCCTCAGACATCAAGACTACAAGAGAGCATCGAAGCAACAGCGTTTTGCAGAAAAAATGCATCTCAGACAAATCACCGGAACTTCCGCAGGACAAGCCAAATTTGCAGAAGTTCCGCAGGATTTTGTTCACTATTGCAAAAATGAAAACGTTGAAAATCGGAACTTCCGCGGGATGTTCATGCCAAACTGGTTAAAACCGGAACTTCCGCAGGACCTTCTTCAAAATCCTGCGGAAATTCCGAAAAATGCCAGAGGTTCAGCACTTTGACTTGCCAGAACTTCCGCAGGACTTTGTATGTGTTGTCTCGTGATGTGGCCTCGCCAACAACCAGAGTGCATCATAGAACATGTCAGCCGTAGCGTAGAGGATAGTAGGTGGGTCTCACAGTCAATAGAGTGAGGTTCAAGTCTCACTTCGGTGTTCTCTTTTGCTGTTGTGGTTGGCATTCTTCGGAACTTCCGCAGGACCTCATTTCGGAACTTCCGCAGCACGTTTACGGAACTTCCGCAGGTGACCCGGCGGAACTTCCGCAACGCTCTGCGGAAGTTCCGGTGATTTGTCTGAGCATGCTTGAGACTTCCGCACTCAAAGGCAGTGATAAAAAACATAATGAAAAATTAAAAGCATGCTGATTCTTTGAATAATTAACATTGTATCAAAGAATACACTCTGTCGCAAGAAAGAGTTGAGCAAGAGTAAAAAATTTGGACCAGCTGGTGATGGATGCATGTTTACGGACAAGAATCATACGATATCTCCTTTCACTACTGAGAATAATAACAAATAAAAGAGTAGTTAGATTACTCCTTTCTCAAGCTTTCGAATCATATGTTAACACGTTTCAGACCGGTGCTGCACATGGTGCAGCACGCGCCTTTCAAGGATCCTTTCAATGTTTGAGGAGGTTTTCTTTTTGTTCAGTTATCAAAGCAAAGGCCTAAGCTCCTCCTTTTCAAATAACTCTGTAGAGCTGTGGCATCGGTATTTATTTAGGAGATATGAGGACAAATCGAACAACAGTTGCAACGAAGTGCGGCAACGCGAACGACGCGTGCGACGTCGCAACTTTTCTTTACTCTTAATTCAAAGAGAAAAACCGTGGTTTCAGTAATGATGTGTACTGTATACAACATAGATTTCATTTCATTTCATTCATTCATAGGCATAATGCTATGTTCCAACAACACGAACTATAACATCAACAAAAACCACAACAACAATACATAAATATCAAAGATCACCTTAACTCAATGGAAGATCAGAGTTAATGGCACAACAACTCGTAAATTGTAAGATCATGTGAAAGAACAAGTAGATCAGAATCAGCTATCATTGGACTGCAGATACTTCAAACTGGGATAACTTTGCAGGATATAAATGCCGTCTCACAAGCATAGTTGCGATAGGGGGAGTGATGGATCTTACCCCCTTCACTTTGAGGCCAAACTCCCGATGACCCCCTTCACCTGGGCTGAGATTGGTATTGTACTCTGAGAATATGATAAAAATCGTTATGAAAAGCAGGCTAAGTACCTCAAACAACAAGTACACTCATAAATTTATTAAAGAAATGTTAGAAATGTTTATGTTTATTTATATTATTTATTTATCCTCGTAGCATTTTGGAGAGCAGAAAGTGAGTACACAAAATCAGTCAAGTTTGGAAGCACATGAAATCCCTCATATCTCGCGGCACAGAAGACCTAGAAAAAAGTCGACGGTCTACGTCGATTCTCCATGATCTCAGCTTTCGAATGGTATACAGCACGTTAGGGCTTCTTTGCTCACCGGCTCTAAGAATCATTTGCTCCGGTAACCGATAAAAGCCAATACATTGGTGGAGCTGGGTTGGAGCAAGCTAATAGTAAATATCTCCACCCCATTTTTGAAAACTGGTTAGTTTTTTTCGCCCAGCAACCTATATACCATTCGAAAGCTCAGGAAAAGGGGATTCGACCGAGACCGTCGACTTCTTTCTAGCCCCCCTCTACCGAGAGATACACCGCATTTTATTTGAAAACATGGTCATTTTCAACAGCAGATTTCTGCCAAATGAAGACCTAATCACTGCTAATTATCTATCTGTGTTAAAGAGCAAGTCTTCATTAACAAAAGTAGACTGTCGACTTTCTCGTAGCATTCATTTGGAGAGCTGAAAGTGAGGACACAAAATCAGTTAATTTTTGAAGCACATGAAATCCCTCATATCTCGCGGCAATGAAGATCTAGAAAAAAGTCGACGGTCTATGTCGATTCTGCATGATCTAAGCTTTCGAATGGTATACAGCATGTTAGTTCTACTTTGCTTCCCGGCTCTAAAAATCATTTGCTTCGGTGACCCATAAAAGCCAACACATTGTATAACCTCGAGTCATTTGTAACTTAATGTGTGAGACTGCACACTATATCCTATTAGCGGCGGCACCCATATTTGTAACTTCCCAGTAAAACATTTTCTAGTCCAACAAAGCGTAGAAATGTTTTCTACTAACTAACGTGTAACCAACAAAAACAAGCGAAATAAGGAAAGAAGGAGAAATCACAGGAAATGAGCATGTTCTAGTTTTGCTGTCCGTCAGTTAGCGTGTAGTGTGTGCACTAGGCATATTAAGTTACAAATGACTCGACGATAGGTCGTCCCGAAAGTTTTTGCGCACGATATTCAAAAATTCATAACTTCTGATTTCTTTAACCGATTTGACTGCTTTCACTTTCATGTGAAAGGGTAAGTCATGCTCTTTATAATGACATCCCAGCTGCTTAGTAATGGTCAGCTGTTGCATAGATAGAAGCTCGAAACAAAATCACTCAAAATTTGAATTTTTGTGTAGGGTCATAAAAAATCAGAAACTTGCAACAAAATCGGATCAGTCGGTATTGTAGGTTCTTTCACCAGCTCTTTATAACAGTGCAAAGTTTGCTCCGATTGAGCGTCTCCATGAAAAGTTATAATTTCCGAGCAAGCAGTACAAAAAGACGAATTTGATTTATTAGGTTGAACACTAAGTTTTGCAACTGGTTTCATAACTTCCCTCTTACTCAACATGGCGCACTCAAATTTTGCCACTGTGTTGGTTATTACATAAGCCACAAGCGCAGCTGTCCTACCAAATTCTGACGTCGCAGTGAGGGTTACGGTAGGTGCATGGTATGAAGGGGAAAAATTCAAAGTTTGACGGATTTGGCTGAAACTTGGCATAGGGGTATTATCCGACATGCTGATGACGAAAACAATAGTGAAATTGCGTGATAAGGGCTTTTCTGTAGGAGTACTGTAGGTGTGCGTTATGGGGTCTCACCCTAAACAAGGAAGAAGGCGTTGATTCAACAAATGAATATGATATTCGCGTTCGGCAGGTAAAATAACCTTACTATTTGAAGTCTCGGCGGAATTTGAGCTTCGGACTCTTTAGTCATTGACGGTCGTTCCAGCAGCTCTTGCGTACATTGACTCGTTCGACTTTGTGAGGACGCCAAATCTCGACATGCCCCTGAATTTTATTTCTTTCTTACAAGGCCAAAGGAGTCAACCTCCAGCAATAATTTGTAGACAAACCCGGATTACTGCGCAAGGTCAAGGCTGCTAAAGGCTTCATGTTGGCTTGAAACCCCAAAAATTCTCAAATTTCAGTAGTTTTCAAAAAATGCCTGAAGCTTTTCTATTTCGCGTTCAAAATTTAGACAAATTGTGCTCGCTTGTAGATCACATTGTATTCTACACAATGCCAAAGTCTGAGGGCGCCATGTTGAGTGAGAGTGAAGTTATGAAACAAGTTGCAAAACTTAGTGTTCAACCTAATATTTTGGCATTTTTCAGGGAAATCATAACTTCTCATGGAGACGCTCAATCGGCGCCAACTTTGCACTGTTAGAAAGAGCTGGTGAAAAAACCTAAAGTACTGGCTGCTCCGATATTTGTTGCAAGTCTCCGATTTTTTATGACCCTACACAGAAAATCAAAATTTTTACCATTTTTCTTCTATCGCTCCTATCTATGCAACAGATGACCATTACTAAGCAGCTGAGATGTCATCATAAAGAGCATGACTTACCCTTTCACATGAAAGTGAAAGCAGTCAAATCGGTTGGAAAAATCAGAGTTATGAATTTTGGAATTCATATGCAAAAACTTTCTGGACGACCTAATAAGAACGAGGTGGAGCAAGTTAATAGTAAAAAAATGTGCTGTGGATTGACACCCTTATCAGCCTTAACGGGAACGTGAGCGAACGCATCTATTTGAGCGTACTTATCGTTGTTATATGTTTATGTTTTTTTGGTAAAAAATGCGCTTTTGATTGACAGTTATGCCATCATTGTTAGCACACACTCAAAAAAATTATGGGAGATTGGTGAATTTCCACACCTTCACACAAAACCCGCCCACTTCTGGAATCTATACTCTGTAAACCTATTGCTGAAGAAGGTCACTTTCGTGAAAACGCTCTAGACTCACTTTACCTAATT